GAGATAGTGAATTATACATGGTGTGTTACAGAGCTGGTGAACTGGTACTATACATGGTGTGTTATAGAGCGAGTGAACTATACTTGGTGTCTTACAGAGCTGAAGAACTATATCATTTACGGTGTTATAGAGCTAGTGAACTATACTTGGCGTCCTATAGAGCTGGTGAAGTATACTAATTATGACGATATATAACTAGTAACATATATACTATTTACGGTGTATTATCATATAAGTGGAGCTGCGTGATGTTGAGCCAGTAAAGGAGAGAGAACCACAACATCACCCGCTAAACATCGTGATTATATTATTAGTTGTTGTTGATGTTATGTGTCGGCCCCTATAGTGTACAGCTATTACACCCCAGTCCTAGTAGACCCCATGCTCCTATTACACCCTAGTGCTAATAGATCCTTCTCCCATTACACCCCAGTCCTAGTAGACCCCATGCTCCTATTACGACCCCATGCTCCTATTACACCCTAGTGCTAATAGATCCTTCTCCTATTACACCCCAGTCCTAGTAGACCCCATGCTCCTATTACACCCTAGTGCTAATAGATCCTTCTCCTATTACACCCCAGTCCTAGTAGACCCCATGCTCCTATTACATCCCTAGTGCTAATAGATCCTTCTCCTATTACACCCCAGTCCTAGTAGACCCCATGCTCCTATTACACCCTAGTGCTAATAGATCCTTCTCCTATTACACCCCAGTCCTAGTAGACCCCATGCTCCTATTACACCCTAGTGCTAATAGATCCTTCTCCTATTACACCCCAACCCTAATAGACCCCATGCTCCTATTACACCCTAGTGCTAATAGATCCTTCTCCTATTACACCCCAGTCCTAGTAGACCCCATGCTCCTATTACACCCTAGTGCTAATAGATCCTTCTCCTATTACACCCCAACCCTAATAGACCCCATGCTCCTATTACACCCTAGTACTAATAGATCCTTCTCCTATTACACACCAAACCTAATAGATCCTAGTTATAATGGAGCTTTCTTCCAATAGACCCCAATCCAAATCGATTCGCCTCAGGGTCTATTAGGTACAAGGGCTCCTCTAACCAGTCATCACTCAGTCGTTCATGAGGGTGTTGTGGCCCATCGTTCACCCCGAGGCCATAACACAGGGCCTCTACTTTATTGGGGCCTCGCGCGCCATTAAATTACTGAGCTTTTATACACAGATGCGTAAATTTTAGGACATCCGCTGAACCCCAGAGCGTATATCCTAACCTGACCGAGTCTAAAATAAACCAAACCGAACCTAACCAAAATTCCTGACCTAATCTAAACCAAATTAAACCAAATCCAACCAAATCTAAACCTAAGCTAAATAAACCAAACCAAACCTAAAATGAAAGTCCCGATTTTAGGGGTGACATATTTCCCGAGGTGATATAGTTTGGCTGCAGACCGGTGCCATAACACGGAGTAATATGACTGCATCATTGTTTTACTGCAGCGACTCTACACAACCTTCATAAGCTACCACAGTAAAGTACGATCCTGAGGTTGGTGTCAATGAGGAACTGGTTTTTTGTACTGCTGGTGGGTGATAATGTCGATGGGTGTATAGGTGTGTGTGTGTGTGTGTGTGTGTGTGTGTGTGTGTGTGTGTGTGTGTGTGTGTGTGTGTGTGTGTGTGTGTGTGTGTGTGTGTGTGTGTGTGTGTGTGTGTGTGTGTGTGTGTGTAGGGGTGGGGGGAGGTGAGACGGAGAGCAGGTTTGTCTGTCTTTTTGTGTTTGTTTGTTTGTTTGTTAATCTGTCTTCCTTCCTTCCTTCCTTCCCTTCCATTACCTTTCGTTCTATTTCTTCCTTCTCCTTCACTTGTCGTTTATCCTCCTTCTATTTATCCTAACTTCCTTTGGCGTCCTTTTTTTCTCTCTCTATCTCCTCTCTATCTTCTACCCCCCCCCCCTTTCACTTTCACACCTCTACCCCCCTCCTTCCTCACACCATTATTTTCCTCTCTCTCTCTTCTCCTACACCTCCTACACTTCCACCTCCACCTCCTCCCCCTCCTCCTCCTCCTTCTCCTCCTCTTGGCCTCGCCGTGACGCAGGATAATCCCGGCTCTGGTACAGCGGTGTGTTCCCTGAGCGGCAGAACCTGAGCCGGACTTAATACTGGGTAATGACCGCTGCAGCCCTGACTGAGAGAGAGAGAGAGAGAGAGAGAGAGAGAGAGAGAGAGAGAGAGAGAGAGAGAGAGAGGAATGAATAGTTATTGATAATGATGTTGAAAACAGCTTTATTTTAATCAGAAAAAAATGCAGCCGACAACAAATAGCAATATTGAAATGGCTGGACCCAAGTGAGAGAGTGAGAGCCAAAGGAGAGAGAGAAAGGGAGAGAAAACAGACAGAACGACAGAAAAAACAATAGAAAAACAGAGTAACTAACTGAGTTAGAAATACTCAATTAAAAGGAAATAAAAATACAAGACGATAAATTAAGAAAAGGAGAGAGAGAGAGACAGAGAGAG